TCCTTCCTCCCTCCCTCCCTCCCTCCCTCCCTTCCTTCCTTCCTTCCTTCTATCTCCCTCCCTCCCTCCCTTCCATCTCCCTCCCTTCCTTCTCTCCCTCCCTTTCATCTCAGGGTTATATAAACGGTTGGATTTGGTGAAACCCAAAAACCTGCCTGCCCATTTCCGCCTGCACAATCCCAGGCAAAGGCACCAAACGCATTCCTCTGGCTATTGTTGGGTTTGCAAAGCAGGGATTTCTTACACAACAGTCCGAGGGGATTACAGCACCGTTGCGCCAACAGCCTGCTTTTTTTTTTTTTTTTTAATACAACTGTACAATAAGGCATCCATTCTCCTCTGAACCAGGGACATTAAGACTCAACTTTTCTGGAGCTGAGAGCTTGGGTTGACACAAACAAATCAACGAGAGGTCATTAGGGGGAAAAAGCGGATTTTTAAAAAACCAGACCACAGCTCTCTTTCCTAATTTTGGATGTACTTCATCCAGGTAGTCCTTGTCTTACAACCATTTGTTTAACGATGATTCACGATCGTCAATGGCTTGTTTGTTGCCTCCTTTGGAGCTGGAGAGGGCGATGTCAAGATCGGTTACCTTCTCTGTCGCCATCCTGGCGTCCCTTTTGAAGCTCTCGACCAATTTTACGGGGTACCAAAGGCTCAGCACGGCGAGGCACAGAATGATAGGCAGGTAAGAAAGCAGGGAATAATATCTGTAGATCTGAGAAGAAAGGAGAAGAAAAAAAAAAGACAGAATAAAGTGGCTACCACTGAGCACTGAGGAGTTGAATTATATCTCGGTCAACATCCCTCAATGGCTAATGTTACACTGGAAAGTTTCCAGACCCAGGGATTGTGGTTTATGGACCAGATCTCTCTGCCACAGCGACGACGCAGTGATGAATTTGAAGAGTGAGTTGGTCCCTCTCGCGAAGTCCTCTGTGAATTGCTTTGAGGTGCAAAGTCAAAAACAAAGAGAGTGGATTAGTTGCTCTCCTCCACACCCCTTTTTTCAGATCCTCTGGAACCCCAAGGGGGTGTTCTTGGCTGCTTTCTTCCTTTGGTGGGACTCAAAATATGCTTTCATGTTAATTACAAGCTGTGCACATAATTGCTTTCTGCCCTGCTTCCTGGATCCTGAGAACACACTGCAGTCCATGGGAAATCCAAAGAGTTTGCTACTCCTATTAAGTCAAAGCATCCGCTTTGTCCAATGTACGGGTAACAAATGATTCCTGGTCTGAAAGCCACCTGGGAGGAACCCTGGTGCCATATATATTCCTGACAATTTGCTCCTTAGTTATCTCCTTTCTCATTCTTCTGGGACAGATCCTCACATTTCCCTTGTAGTAGTTGCATCCTAAAATCTACTTCACCGAGTTCAAGAAACATAAGTGACAAACGACCATGGGCCTTCTGAAGCATCACCATCAAAAGATGTATGCAACTGTGGCCCCAGTTCAGTATCCCCCCAACTCGAAGTGTGGTCTTCAGACCTTCTCCAGATGTTGTCTCCAGGATGTCCTTCTGAATATCATCAAGGCAGAAATGGCTTTATGCTTGGGGAGTTTCTATTAATTGCTTCAAATTAATACGTTTTGATTCTATGGCCCAACCGCATTTATTAAAAATCCAAAATTTGAGTCCCAAACTTCTCCCAAAATGGGCAGAAAGTCTCCAGGCTTCAGGCAAGAACTCTAGTTCAGGGGTCCCCAAATTTGGCAACTTTTAAGACTGGTGGACTTCAACTCCCAGAATTCTGGGAGTTCAAGTGCACAAGTCTTCAAGTTGCCAAGTTTGGAGACCTCTGCTCTAGTTGCACCCAGTTTCTCCCTGTCAGCTTCTTTCTTCTTTCTCTTTACCTTGGATGACTGAGGACATTCCACCTTTTGCCAGATGTAGAGCACACAGTGACACCAGGACAGAAGGCAGCCAAGCAGGTATCCAACTCTGTGTCGAACAGTAGCGCATGCCAATAAGGGATAATAGAAGGCAGGATAATAGAATAAAGCCAGCACCTTCCAGTACTCTAGACAAAGAGATCAAAAGAGAAGGACTAACGTTAAAAGCCCAAGTATTTCTGCACAAAGACAGGTGGACAATGCAAATGAAAGAATGGGTAGGGTTGCCATAACCTCTGCTAAGGGGACGTCATTAGATTTCCCATAGAAGGCAACTCATGGGACATTTATTTGTACAACGATGGCTGTTGGCCAACAGACCTTGGATTGGTCCTGTCCTTAGGTCAGATTTCTTAACCTTGGCAATTTTAAGACAGACTTCAACTCCCAGATTTCCCCAGTCAGCCACTGAAGTGAGTCGAAAGTTCACACATCTTAAAGTTGCCACGGTTGGGGGATCTTGTCTTAGGCAAAACAAGGAAAGTATCTAAGAAGACAGAAATGGCAGATGTTCTCCCAAGTTCTTTGTCTGTTCCTCCTGCTCTTAGTTGAAATGGCTTTTTAAAAACCAGAGCTGGGTCTATTTGGAGAGATCCTTCACCTAAAACCATGGTGGAAAGAAGGCAGTACTTTTTTTTTTAAAGGCCGTTCCGCCATCTAATGCCAATTGGCACGAGTCAAAAGCAGAGTAGCTCTTTTTCTATGGCTACTTGTGTTGCTTTCTCTCTGGGAGGAAGGATGATATAAGCTTGCTTTGATCCATTGAAGTGATTTCTAATGTTCTTGTGAAGAAGGAGATGATAGGCTGGATTAGACACAACTCTTAGCCACAACTCTTAAATACGATATAATCAGGAAGCAGCTGATCTCATCCCCATGTCAGAAGCACCAGAATGGCTTGTGTAGAAAGGGAGATGTTCCAAGTAAGGTGGACTTATTTTGTCCTCCATATTCTTTCTTTACAGAGTGACAAATTCAATGCACCTTGGAGGCCACTATGATGACCCGGGGCGTGGCACAAAGGCAACGCAGTCAGATAATCAGTAGGAGTCCCTTTATTAGCTCCAACTTTGCCCCCAATGTCCTGGTTACCTTCTGGTTGGAGAAAAACACTCCCAGGAACAGCCTTTGGCTGCAGAGAATCAAGTCCAAAACATGGTCAACAAAAACTGTAACTATAACTTACAGTTAAGTTATAGTTCTCAAGGCAAGAAGAGGCCATTAGTCCGGCAGGGCATGAGAAGGAATTCCAGACACGAAGGCATGGCAATAACTCGACATGATTGGGAGGATGCCAGGAACACAGATAAGCAAAGTCAACACAAGATAAACTCACGTTTGTCCCCAGAAGATGCTGCACTCAGCATGCATTTCTTTTAAACTCTCTTCCCAGGTGTGCCTAATGAAGGGAATCAGGGCCCTTTCCTCCCCCGTAAGCCATGCAACCCACATTGCTCTTTTCTCTGTTCCTCTCTGCCTGCTTTAGGATGAAGAGGGAGTGGACCTGGGTCTTCCTCTGAACTCCCTTCCCCTTGTTCTACTTCTCCCCTGCTCTGCCCAGCCGGCCTTTGCCCTTCCCCAGTTTCCCCCGCAGCCAACGGAGCTGCACTCCCACTCCCTGTCAGCTGTTCACCTTCCTCCTCAAATATCCAAAAATTAACCGTCTACTTTTTTTAAAAAAAGGTTATAGTCCTTATTTTTTCTATCCACTTTGGTGCTATTGACCTATCTTTGACCACAGCTCGCCAAATTCTTAATCCACAAAGCTAACTTGAAAGAGGGAGGATGTTTGAGGAGGCCAGTTTAAAGAAGACCACCCCCTCCCCATGTTCCTATCGGAAATTCTTTGAGATTACCTCGATTTTGTACTGAAGAGTTGGAGATGAAAGGCAGGGGGTCATTGTCTAACAACAGCACACACAACGAAGAGAAGAGTATGCCAAAGACTGCAATGGCCAATCCTTTGTTCTGCGTGTCTTCCAAGAAATTCATAGGGCTGGGCAAAGCCGACAAACAGAGCGCCAGAGAGGAAGAATCAACAGAAGAAAACAAAACAAAAATTAGTTCTACAAATGGAATGACTCTGCTGGAAAGCTTTGAAGATAATACGCTCCAAAGTTGCAAGACAACACCCCCCCCCGGGGCCCCCCACCCCAAGACGAAGTGTTCCCCACCCAGCATGAACGAGTTAGTACCTCAATAGTCCAGGTACTCCGTTCCAAAAATCTGGATAGAGTTTCTTCCTTTTTACCAACAGCGAGAGAATCGCGAGCGTAACTAGCTGTAAGGCAAGATTCCTCGTGTTTACACACAGCTTGATTCCTTAAACAAATGAAGTTATTCTTCTGTTCTTAGGTATGAAAATGAAGATATAAGAAAAATGACAAAATATATTGCATTCCTAAGGTCCTCCATCCACTTAATGACCCAGATTTTTATTTTCTCTCTCATCTATCTATCATCTATCTATCTATCTATCTATCTATCTATCTATCTATCTATCTATCTATCTATCTATCTATCTATCTATCTATTATCTCTCTATCTCTCTATCTCTCTATCTATCTATTATCTATCTATCTACTATCTATCTACTATCTATCTATCTATCTATCTATTATCTATCTACTATCTATCTATCTATCT